CTTATTATTGTTTAATTAATTAATTTTTTAAATAGTTATAATTAATAATTAAATTAAATATTTTATTCAAATCTATTTAAAGTTTTGAAATTCAATTTTTGATAATCAGATGTGTTATTAAGAGGAAAATTTATTAAAATAATTGTTTTTCAGAATTTATATTGCTTTCTAGTCATTTTTTCTTTCGGTTCATCAAAATAATCATAGGTAAGCAAAAATTACGTAAGTAATTGTGGTTCCAGTTAAAAGTTAAAAAACTTACACTTTCTATTTTTATCACAAAAACTTTTTACATTTTTTACTCGAGTCCAGAAAAACTAAAATCACTAAACGCAAACTGATACTATTTTAATAAAACTTGTAAATAATTAGCTAAGAGATTAAAACAAAAAGTAAAAATAACTATTTTAATTATTAAAATCATTTATCATCTCATGTGTAAAGAATACCGTTGCCACGTAGACAGCCTCGCACGTGAATACCATACCGGCTTGCCCTCCACTAAGAAACAGGGATTGATGGGTTATCATCCGTCCTCTCTATTTTCAATATCTCCTCAATTATCCAATTTCTCTTGCTCTGTACCGTCATTATGTTCTTTGATTTAAGAGGGGAAATTAAAGAAAAGTAAAGATTTTTTTATTTTATATTCGTAAAAAGAAAGAAAAAAGAGAATTCTTTTTCATGTTTTAAATAAAAAAAGAAAAATATTATTTTTATTAGAGACAGTAAGATAAATAACCTCAATGATCTTCTTGAGGTTATTTATATCCTAATCTAATATTACATCAAACTTAAAACAACATCATTACTAAATTTAAAAAAAAAATTAAAGCTTTAAATATTTCATCTGAAATTACTACACATGTTTAAAAGGAGATATGACGATATTTTGATGAGATAAGTATTTATCAGAATTTTGGACACATCCTATAACCCACTCAACCGGTTTCCGGTTCAAAAACCACCAGAGTACCTCCCCTTCTATAAAACCCAACCCTTTCACCCTTCCTTTATTCAACGAAGAGGTTTCAAGATAGAAGATATCATCAGAGATGAGCTACCTAAACCGTGTTTGGATGACCGCCGGTGTTGCCATCGTCAACGGCCACACCGATCAAGGCAATAAACTAAAGTCAAGCGTCAAATCCTTCCAGCAAGGCAAGAAAGCCTTCAGTTCCTCCAGTGCCGGCGCCGATCCGGCTGATTTCCGTCCGTTATCTGGTGTGGTAGGTTCTGAAGTCGGTGGAGAAGAGAGGATGAAGCAGTCGGATGATTCTCTCCGGCAAGTGATGTACTTGAACTGCTGGGGACCAAGCTAATAGAGTAATCGGAGACATGCGACGGTGATCGGAGTTTTCTCGGTTGATGAGGAATCGATGATGTGAGTTGACTTAGTTGTAAAATTAGAGAGGGGGTGTAATTGTAATAGTTATACAAGTTTTGGAACAAGAATGTAAATATCAATTTGCCCTTGACCAAGTTTGTGTTGCCATAAATAACAATTTTCTTTATATTTATTCTAGATACTTCTTTTTACAATAAAATTGTGCATAATTGAAATAGAGAAGGGAAAGTAATGTCTTAAAATAAGTCTATATTTATATTTATCTTAAAAATACATGACTAAACTTTTTTTTTTATTAACTTAGATATTTAACCCGTTATACGAGCCGACTAATCACATGATGATCACATGCTTTGCAGATAGTCCGGAGTCACCGCATTTGAACCTTCATGACCACAAGTAGATTTTTATTCCTCCTTGAAACATAACTAACTTGTAATAAATATATAAATGTTGATAAAAATAAATTTGTTTGATATAACATTTCATTTTGATTGGAAAAATATTTTACAAAGAAAGTCAAGAAAAGGGGTGCTTGAAAGAGAGTGGTGATGAGATGAAACAAAAAAAAAGAGGAAATTATGGACTACAAAACCCATCATATCATTTCAAATAATTACAAACTGTCTTCTATTCACCCTCTCTCTGTCTTCCATTAATTTTGTTTTTTTTATTATTAAAAACCAATTATTATTTTTTATCAATTATGGGTCCATATTTTACTTAAAATAAGAATGCTTCAAAATTATTTAAACGAATAAATCCAATATATTAATTATTAATAACATCACAATCAAATCAATCATTTTTAATCCATATGAAAGGTCATTTAGATGGGTTTATTATATAGATTTTTTACTTACAATTACTTGATTCTTTGATTATTTTTTGGTTTTTTAGTTTTTCTTAATTTTATAGTCTGAGTTATGTAGATTAAGGCCTGACCTACAATTATATGATCAATCAAAGAGGTCTCGACATCAGATAAGCAAACATATCTTATCGTCTTTCATCATCAACGTCCATGAAAAATGTAAAATCAAAATAAAGAATATAGATAGACAGGGTTTTGTGTTATCTTGTCGAACGCATCATTGAAATGCATCAAATCATATAATCACACATCTAGTATTTAGGGGTTGTTTACCCAAATGCTTACCCGGTAAGTGCTTACTAGTAGGAGTCAACACTATAATTTATTTTGATGAGTAAGATTTTAGTACATCAAAACGTATTGAATGCAATAATTTACCGAGTAAGCACTTATCTTGGTAAGAGTCGTAATCTTCACTTACCGGATAAGACTCTCAATCCTTCTCACCGCTCTTATCCGGTACGATTCTTGGCCCTTGTCATGTTCACCCGATAAAGAAATTTATCCGGTAAATACTTATCAAGTAAGCGTTTAGTAAACAGTCCCTTAGTAACAACTGATGCCATAAAAGTCATTTGTTTTTATCTTTATTAATATATCCCAAACGAATTTTCACAATTGGCTTTTATTTTTGGGAATAAAGCAAATTTATTAACAAATTCATTGTTGTTTATAAAAATTATGTATCTTGTAAACCACAATGCATCAAATAAAATTCTCAAAATAAAACTAATTTGTTGGTTCGAAATAATTAAATGGGCCCTTTTTAATACCATATAATTTAACCGATAATCACCGATTTTGTTAAGTAACATATCATGTTTTAGAATAAATAGGTATATTGGACATTAAAGTTTACATATAATTTCAAACAAGTCATCTAGTTATAGAAATGCTATAATAAAGCCAAACCAATTTGCAATTTAATGTCATTTACACAAGAAAGATGAAATAAGTCAATGTAAGAGTTCCGAATGCTCAAAATAGAAATATATGAATTTTTGTTAACCAAAAGCACATAAAAAACAAAACTTCGAGTAAAAGAAAGAAAAAGCCATCGAGGAGGAGGGATGTAAGATATCACCGGAAAGGGTTTGCAGAGTCGTGTGGTTTCATTTTTGATTTTTGTGGCATTTGTTGTTCATTGTCATTAAGATCGTTAGCTACTGTTGTTAAGTGATCGCTGTTTTGATCTTTTTACCTCCTTTTTAGATTTACTCGAATAAAAAGAATAACATATAACTTATCCACACCCACCCACATGAATCCCTCTCTCCCTCCCCCTTCCCATAAAGAACTTATGCATAAATGCGTTTGACTTTGCTTGAGTGTGTCAAATCCTACATGAAGAGTTGCTGGAGCTTTGGAAGGGGACGGGCAAACCCTGTCAATGCCGACATCGGGTGATGGGATGATTGATGAAGATGAGGAGAGATTCCATAAGGGTTGGTTAGGTTTGTCTTTATATGATTTATTGACAACTTGTACATATATGTTTTCAGAGCTTTCTATCCTAACGGAAAAAACTTACAGTCGTCACGACCGTAGACCATTTTCGCGACGAAAATGAAATCTTGGTCCACTGGTTTGGAATTTTAAGACGTTGATGAAATACTTGAAGGTTTGTCCAAAGTGTAGGGATGATTCTTGTAATTTCCTATTTTAAATATTTCTTTTTTAATATATTATTAAGATGAGCAGGTGTCAAACTTATCCTGACAAAGTGAGTCATGGACCCCACTCCTCCCTTTCGTGGGTCCCGCTAAGCACAGACTACTGAATACCCCAAATGGGCTCTAAGTACACGTGTGATTCGCATGATAGGCTAAAATCTTCATTCCATTTTTATATTGTAAAAAATTTAAATGTACACATAAGTTAGAACACATTATAGAATTTTTTAATCTTTTTACTAACGTATTCACATAGTGGTGGATTTAAATATAGTTTGTACAAACTAAAACAGATATCGTAGATTTATAGTGTGTTCATAATATGTTCACAAACTATAATAATATTTTTGTATTTATAATATGTTCACAAATTATAATAATATTTTTTGTTTGCAATATGTTCACAAACTATAATAGTATTTATATAAAAAAATGTTCACAATGCGTGCACATTCAAAATATGTGTCATAAATAGAGGAGCGAGAGGAGAGAGGAGAGAAAACATAAGAGAGATAGGCGAGAGGAGAGAGGAGAGAGGAGAGAGGAGAGAAAACATAAGAGAGATAGGCGAGAGGAGAGAAGAGAGAGATGAAGAATTTTTTAACTTATACTAGATTTCATTTTTCAACTAATTTTTTGTGGTTTAAATTGGATATCACGGATCTTACAAATTACAAGTTTCTTAAAAGAAAGCCCATATACATATACATATATAGAGGTTGGTTATTATACAACCCTTGATATTTGTACAACCAATACAACTCAATCTCAACCGACCATTTCATTTGATTAATATGTGATTTCATATAAGTTTTTATTGTTTCCTAATATAAAGTATCGATTATAATTAATAAACCATATTCATCTTCCATAAATATTCAAATCATAATAAATGAATTTTCATCATTTCCATAAATATCTCAATTTATTGGGTTGTATTGGTTGTACAAATGTGATGAGTTGTATTTGAAACAAACTCTACATATATATAGGTTTAATCTTGTGAGGAACAAAAAAATGTTGAGAATCGTAAGGACCAATCTAAGCCTTAATTCGGTTTTGATCTTATGTTTTTAACTGAAAGCTGTTTTTAATTTTAAAAATGGCATAATCATCATTTCTGTAACAAGATTCACTAGATGAAACATACAGATTAATTCACGAGGTGAAACACACAAATTCACCAGGTGAAACGCTAACAAACCCTATTTTACCTCATGAAATAGACTACAATTTTCATAAATATCCTATTTCACATGACGAAATCCAAACATAATGTTCATGTATATGTTGATTTACGACATGAAATCAAATACGATTTGTATCTATAATCTATTTTCACCTAACGAAATCAAATATAAATATTCTATAATCTTCGGACCTTACGCCGAGATATACGAAAGAGGCCCTAAAGTTGGTTATGTTTTCAAGTGAAATCAACGAAACTCAGCAAGCATAACGACACATTATACATATGTAGCTAAATCCATTAGAGACCATGCTCATACCGTTCATTTAGCCCCCAAATACAATTTGCGATTCAGAACTCTAAACAAAAATTGACCAAAGTCAAAACCCTAAAACGAAAACAAAAAGCCGCCAACAAAATCTGTTGGCAAAAACAAGAGACCGTTGCAGTCATACATTAAAGAATCGTATAGTATGTAAAATAGAAAATTAACATTTCACAAAAGACAAAGATCTAGGAATTCGAATCGGAAAACCCCACACATGTAAAAAAACACAAATCTAAAAAGKGGATAAAGATAAGAGTGCTAATATGTGAGATGATGAACAAATCAATGAAGAAGAAAATCACCCTAAAAAATTCAGAAGTGATGAGAAAAAATTTGATCCGGTGACTTTGCTTCTCTCGCCGGTTGGAACCTTTTGCTTTTCCTAGAGAGAAGCTTTGGACTTCCGTGGGGTGCRACTTGAGTGTGTGTGTTGAGCCTAATTGTGATAATCAATGTTGTTGATACAATCGTTTTCTATCGTGTGATTGATCGGTGTGATAAACATGTGATAAAGGAATGTGCARTGACAATCTTGTAAAATCGAATGTGATAAGCAACAKTGTTGTGATAATCGATTCTATTGATGTGATAATAGATTCTCTAGTCCGCTTTACTGTCGACTAATCCTTCTGAACCCGTTTTTCTGTAGTAATAGCTTACTAGATAACCACAATCTTTGATATTATCACTTCCCCACATGATTAGAGTTTCTATGATCATGTTATTTCAACGTTATCACTTCAATTTTACCCTTYCACGTTTTAWATATTCTTKATTTTTTATATTAATTTAAATTAAAAAATCCCTTARCTTTGAATTAAAACACAATACTTGGTTATTCATTATAAATAGTGAATTAATTTAACATAGATCATGACCATATTATTCATTACAAATGTTATATTATTTATCRTGAAGACTAAAATCTTGATTTCATGGTTCTCAATTCAAATAGGGGTTTTCACTTTTCAAGTAAAGAAAAACAGAGAAAAAGAAAATAAAAAAACATGACAATAATTAAGATTAAAAATAATGAATTTGGATGATTTAATTAACACAAGTGATATCAACAACCCAAACCCGAACCAAAACCCAAACCCGAACCCATCTCATCATACTTTASTTTTTTGGAGATGAACTTAATGAATACAATGAAAGTATAATATACATCAACTCCATGTTTGTTTCTATACAACAAAAGAAATGCCCTTCTCGCTTCCCATATTCTTTGACATGATCTCCCATGAAGACACAAGATACGATTCTTCTGGTAAAACAAACGGTTTCGATATCTCGCTTATCATCAGATCCCCACAAAATGGGCATTCGCTCGCTATTGCATCATCCAACTGCGATCGAATCTGTACATCATSTCAGAAACTAGAATCACAATACAACTCGGAAAGAAATATATTTTAAGGARTTCATCTCCAAACTTCTATCCCATGAATATTGCAATGTTTGAGTATGCAAAATTGTTCGAAGGAATTCTTAGTAGTATTTCAAATTTCTAAAATACGCTTCAATAATGACACAATAGAAAAATCTTAATCCAAATACATATAACTTTAGCTTGAAGATTTACCAAAAGGGGGAAGTTCAACTTTGTTCATGGGATGGACGAGCATTTAGACCCAACRKGTATTAAAAGAAAGTTCARTATAGAATCTTGTAAGACGGACCTTATCAACAGGGGCCACGCTTGTGATGGAGTCATCACCGTTTATCCCACCATTTACACCCTCCTTGGGTTCGATACTCATTAAAGTGAGTTGCTTCTGAAGATCCAGTATATACTCAGCCTGCAAGACAAWTTCCAACGGAAACAATAAAGTGATGCTACATGTGAACTACTCATATTACAAGAGTTAATTTTTTTTTTAATATCTATCATGTAATATTCTCCTGCAACAAACATGTACGGCACGCTTTGTCAATACATTATTGACATATTTTAGATTAGTTGTCTTATCAAAAAATATGATTGGAAAGGAACAACAGGAGTAACATGAGAAGCTAAGCAAATTTATTTACTACATCCAGAAACAAGAAATGGGACKCCAGATACCATTTGTATGGTTTCAAGAGAACGAATTTTGTAATTACAAGCATCACTGCATCTTATGTTATTTAAGTCTGTTGACCTAAATCTATCAAACAGGAACAAAGAAGTTCATAGTGTTTGCTCTTTCTAATATTACATGCTGCATGCATATACATTGAGATTATAAGGTGTTCCATCCAAGTCTGTCTAACCTTAACTTATCCTACAGGAGGTCTACTTTTGTAGGAGAACAATATGCTTTTTATCACATGTGTGAATGATATATGTGTTTGATTATAAGCTAMGTACTTACTTGATTTTGATCAGTACATTTGGTAACATGGGCAACAAGACATTGCGCATGAAAGGCATGTCCGCAAGGGAAGACATAGAAAGGGGCCATTGGCCCTATCGTTGTATAAYCCCTGGCCATTCGGTAATCCGCACCCGCAGACAAAATAACCCGCCGGCAAACCTGATAAGTTGAAATTGTGGAGAAGATTCAGGAATAGCAGGAGCAGAAATACTAGAAGTAGACGTCTTGAGAATAAAATTGAATAAAAAAACACTAGCTAAAAGAAGCAAGTGATGCATGCAATTCACAACTCTTGGCRTTCAGAAAAAAAAGCCACCAGTATGCCAAAACCATATAAAAAARGCCATCTTAGCTCAGTTGGAGCATGGCTTTTGGCTGCATCATGCCATCCTGTCCCACAAAAATTGCGAGTTAGAGTTGTGAGCCCCTTGTTTTGGTCTAGAGGGATTAGTAAGTGTAATGTCTTTCAACCGGCAAATCAGAGGTCATGTGTAAGCCAAATTGGTGTCTGTTACAAGAAAACTTGTGTGGATGGATCRTCTCAACTAGGCAAAGAATTCCGTAGTTTCCTTGAAGACATCATTCATTGAAATGCACATATGTAAAGATAAAAACATGTGATTGGCAGGTGATTCCACCTACAGAATCTTAAAGCACAAATAGGCTAATTAAGGAATTCTCCACATGGAAGGCTAACATATTAAAAATAAACATGAATTTGGTACGAAAGAAAAATATTCATGTCAAGAACTACCACAAGAAAATAATTACCCCGCATTCCTCATCACGGTCAACGACTGCATATCTTTGAGCAAGGGCACCAATATCATTTCTTATGTTATCTGCACCATGTGTTGCATCATTCATCTCCTCTTTCAATTTCTCAATTTGCTGGTTGTAATCCTCTAAAGATGAACAAATTGCTTCCTACAGAATCAACATTAATTACTTCCTGTTAATAAATGGTAAGATCACAAATCAGCAATATACATGTGACGATAACACCAATGCAACTGAAAAAGTTRAAKAGATAAACAAATTGATCGGTACTAATTTATCCATCATAAAACCATTCATGAAAACATGATTAAATACAAGTTTGTTGCTTTAAGCTGAAATTTAGGCATCATCATGAACCCCAGGACATAGTACTCTGAATTAGGCGTACCTTGACAATCCATCTAATTTACTCTCATTTCCTTTCTGACCAAAGAACTAGGGTGTTTGGATGTGCTCCATATTCAGCAAAACTGATTCTGACTATGATTATTTAGGGCCAAAATAATTAAATTATATGATTATAATTATGATTCTTGGACTCACCATGATCACTTTGAAAACTCACATTCAAACACCCCCTCGATATATAATAGAATTTCCACTACCAAAGCTCCTTACCTTGAAGTCATCAATTAGTGCAAAGTCTGGAAAAAAAGGTAAGATATCCTCGATCTTCAATAGACCATCAGTTTCCTTGAGAAATGCTATTGCCTTCCTAATGTTCTCTCGTTTAGTACCCTTTTCCTGCTCAACAACATGCTTGGCAACCATAAGCCAAAGTTTCTTCCTCAAGTCTTCATCATCCTCCACTTTGTCTGCTTCAGCCATAGCAAGCTCTGGGTCAACCTTAATCACCAAAGGGGACAGATGAGAAGATAATTTACAAATATTGCAGGAGCATAACCACYACCATCACTAAAACACATATGCAACTGAAGCAGATTTAAATATATAAAGAAATAGAATACTCATAAACACAACGGGAGAGTAGGAAAGTCTAAACCATGACCTCTAAAGCTGATACAACTATTATTGTTTTCAGCCATGTGCATTACATTCATCCTAACTCCCTTAATATAAGGGCAATGTCCCTACTAAAGCAAGTCCTTACCGTTCATGTTAGATCTCTCCTAACCCTTTGTTATGCAATAGACCTGGATTCTGTTCCTACTTACTTTATTTCAAAAATAGAGACYGTCTCAGTTAGGAAATAATTGCAATGTTTCCTGAAATTTGTTATTTCACAACCATTTCCAGTAATACCAAGGAGTTAATTACTGATTTCTGTAATCTCTAGAATGGTGGGCGTTTGGTAAATTATTTTTGCACAGCAAGAATAGAGTCGGTCATAGGTAGAAGCTTCCAGACAGTCGCAATGTCAAGATTCAATAAGTCGACAGGCTCACATGATTTAATATATAAATTAAATATATCAAGTCCTCATAACAGGTTTTGTTCCTTTGGCATGCTCAAATTGTTTTCTTTCAGTAATTTGAYTAATTATCTGTTAAACTAACTTAACTAAACCTGGTCCAATCATAAAGGAAACAATTTGTACTTATAGATGCCATATATAGAATGAACATCGATTGGAGAACTTCTAAACACAAATGTCATCTTTGTCCCTATCCTCATTGTACACAGGTGTTTGACTGCTTGTGATATTCTATTTGATCAGCAATTTGAAGTTCTACAAAATAATTTATAATGCTTCTAGCTGATTTTATCTCATGATGTAACATATATCCATCAAAAGAATACTTTATTGCATGTGCTTGGGGCCATTTAGCTATTACTGGTAAGAGTAAACAAATGGTATGTACATTCATTCCATTTTCATAATCAACATTTTGGGGTCTAAAGTTTCAAAGACATATTTTAGTACTAAAATGAACTACAGACCCTCAAAATGTTGATTTTGAAAGTATATTCCCGAAAATTAATATCGAATGACAGTAAGTGGCTTTTGGTCAGCAATTTTCCCTAAAAAGTAAATATAAGTTCCTGAATAYTAGATAGATCCGATTTCTGGATGCATGCCAGCCACCCAAACATTTATAGTCCAACCTWGGAGTCAATACAGGATGGCATACTGAGTGCCATGATAGTAGGAAGAAGAGCAATCCAGGAAGCCTTGGAAAAACAAACAGAACCAAAGCCATAAGATATTTTACCTGAAGAGCAAGTGCAACAGCTTCTTCATGCATAAACATCATGCTGTAAATATGAACACAGGCGCGCATACGCTTTTCCTTGAGGCAAAGACGCAAGGCATATTTAGGATCATAGAAGAAATCAGGGCCACTAGATCKCCCTTTCCCAAACTTGCATTGTAGGAATCGCAGAAGGGCACTGTCATCTTCCTRATTATTTATCAAACAAAGGCATGTTTTAATTGTTTATTCAGATACTTGACCTCCTCATAGATCTTGAAAATGATGTGGAGGACATTATCAAACTCAGGATAGAATATATGGCAGTAATGTCAAAGAGAAAATTTATAAGGCCAATAACTGGAGAGAGATGTTACAATAGAAAAGAGGGAATGCAAAAAACCAATATCCTCAGACAAAAACTGGCGAACATCCAAAAACCAAGAAGAATCTAGTTGATGAAAATAATTAAGACATAATGGAAACCAACTCAGAACACAAGCGTAACAATGTATAAATAAGTTTTTAGGTTTGCAAGACACACTCTAACATAAAAAATTAGTAAGAATTTCTCCATGGAAAGTGCTGACAACTGCATGAAATAATGAACAGCTAGAAAACTCTGCATGTGTATTATTCATTTTACTTTTCACATAAAAGCATTATATTACGAAAAATAGGTAGTCATTCAATGCCAAGATAGTTATGTTAAGGAATGCCTTGGGTCATGTACACATAAWTTTTTGAATAAAAGGTCTTAAAAMAAGATGGTTTGAGTAAAAAATATYTAAACACAGAACTTTCTGAAAAAATAAACCAAACCAAATGYATAGGATGTATGCAGACCTTACCTCCTCTGCCTAAGGGAGTAGAGGGGTTGTTTACACGGAGACCCTTGGCTTGAGAACGAATAAACTCAGAATGTAATATGCGAATGAAAAACAATGTCATGTATGGATTTCTTTTTCTTTAGAAAATAGCATTTATGTATATTAAAGGAAAAA